ATATATATATATATATATATATATATATATATATAGATTAAGTCTAAAAGGTGACATTACTTATTATCTTACCTGATAGGACGCTGCCATAGCATTAGCCTTGTTGGATATAAAGCATCCCTTCTTAGTCCCGCAAGTGGCGTAGTCAAAGTTATTCTAGAAATGCTCAATTTGAAAAAGCCAAGAACTAAGCGTTTTCCTGCAATATGACAAACCGAAGAGATGTCGTCACCGTTCAGGAAGCGAGGAGTTGAAACGAATGTGTGTTTATGTATATCAAGACCTGCAAATTTCACATGTCAACTTCCAAACTGAATTGTTGAAAACGCCTTAACTCAATAGTTATTACCTACCTTGATCATTCGTAAAGCCACTGGCAAGCAAAAGGTAGTATGCTTGGGATGGGTTATAAGTGAAGACCTGAAAACTGTTAATGTAGCGATTTGTTTCAAGGATCCTCACATAATCCTTCAAAAAATTTCTTTTTTATAGTTTTTTATAATTTGATCAGCCCTTGTGCGCAAAACACTTACTTACAGTTAAACAATCGTAATTTTACTAGAAAAATATTATACATATAAAACTATACTTACAAGTACTTGAAAAATTAAATATAGCGCATACCTCCTTACTCTGGCTCCATCCTGACACATTTACGAGAGCTGAGCAATAGAGTTCACCATCAAATGCAATGATATTGCTTTGGGTAAAATAAGATGATGAGATAGTCTGGAGAAGAAAAGCTTTCTTTCTGAAGTTGTAAGTATACGAAAAATTTTAATACTTACTTCTTCACTGGGAATGCGTACGTTGGCAGGTGAGTTGTCGTTGTACGAAAATTTCAAACTGTATCTTTGATTTGGAAGTGCTGAGCACTCAATCACATAATCGTTGCCCTGAATTTGTTTTCTATCCAAACATCGATGTCTCCATTCCCTGCTTGGGAAATTGTAGCTTTTACCTTTTAGTTACTTATTTACTGTTAGTTAAACGCCAATTGTTTTCTCTTCTCTAGAGTGCGGACGAGCGCAGGAAGGCAAAGTTGAAATTTTTCTCATTTGGGACTTGTTTGCGTGCTTCAAGCAATTACGCGTGGTGATATTGGTCTCTTTCCTGAGGTTGGTTCGCTCTTAAGGTTTCTTCCAAAAATCCCCGCCCATCCCTCAATATATCAATGGTACCATCGATTATGTTGTGGAGTTTAGCATCACAGCTCGTTTCTCAAAGAAAATATCTCCGATTTACTGTAATTTTGACAAAATGTCAAGTTGTTTAACGACAGGAATCTCTTACAGCGCTCTATGAGTGCAGAACAGTCTGTGTCGTATGCACGTTTGGGAGAGTGGGGAAAAAAGTTCTAAAGGCACTTTTCCTTTTCCACTCTTTCTTCATTTCTTCTTGAAGAGCTTTTGCCAAAAATTTGCCAAGCTTAATTTTGTTGATTCCTGCAGCATTCCATCTCCTTCATTGAACGTTGAGAAGAACACAAGGAAACCCTCAAAGTAAGGATCTGAGCAATTTTTAGCACGTCCTATATCGTATTCTTACCACGGCTCAGCGGATTCTTCATCGCGACAGATAACGACATATCGTGAATGTATCCCATTATTTGTGACTATGGAGCAAAAGGCGACAAATGTCGGACCGATCTCAATTTGGTGCTTTTGTTAACTCTTCCCCGTTCCTTTTACTTCTTAATGGCTGTAAGGTGGGATTTATATGATTCTCTAAAACAGAGATTTCCGAAATGGGCAACAAGTATTTTTTGCAACTTTCTTCAAACTAGTGTCAGTCACAAGCTTTGCCATACGCTCAGTAGGCGCTACTTCCAACAAATGTCATTGACCCTTTAAAGCTGCGGATGCGTTTCACGCAGTTGGAACCCTTCCCGCCTTCTCGGCTAGAGATCCATTCTATGCTTTAATTGATTGGGAATTATGGTCTAGGTATCAAAACCTTGTCAAACTCACTACAGTTTATCAAACATTACTTATCGTCATCAGTAGGGGAGTTAGAGATAACCCTTCTGGCAGAAAGATCTTCAAAACTCATCAGCCAGATTGATCGGTATGTTGTACAATCTGCGACATCAGCATTGCTTTTCCATAATGGGATCCCTATGCTGGTAGACCAATCACGAGACATGTTCTTAGCTCTAATGACTTGATTGAGAGGATGGGAGGGCCAAGAAGCCACGTTGTCCCCACCCTTCCCAAAACTCACTGGGGATATCATCTAAATTGGTGCCCTACCGTTTTTGCCTTCGTTCTTGCAACCTATACCTCCTCTTCTGTGGTGAATGGCAATGGCACTTCTCTAGGATGTCAGTTTGCTAACAGTAAAATCGGTAGGCGCTACCTCTTTAAAGTATGCTCGCCATCTTTGCGGGATGTCGTGCGGTCTTCTCAAAGTTCTTTAAAATTTGTCTTTCAGTTGGTAGAAGTGTCGATATGTTTTTGGAACCTGCTCTTCTTCTCCCGAGTTTATAACTCTCTATAAAGCTCCCTATACCTGTTTCGCTTTCTTCACACTACTGCCTGTTGATATACCCTGGCGGTCCTTTTTCTATTCTGATTTATTCCGTTGCTGTAGGCACATTACTCCTCTATAACTGCCTGTACTTCCCCACTCTACCAGCATCCGCTTAACAATCCTTGGTCTTCTTGGCTTTATGCAGGTTAGAATGTCTCTCGCCATTTGATGAAATTAGCCTGACCAAGACTCTGGCTTTTCTTGTAACTACGAATAAACTACCATAAACTATAAGGGTATGTCATACCATTTTGTCATCGTCTGAAAATCCTACGGCAATGTACTGATTATTCGCATTTAGCACAGAAAATAGTTCAATCTTCATAATAGAATTTGCCAGAATCTAAATATGAGGAAATTAGTTTGAGAATGAATTTAAAAAACCTTAGATTCAGATGCGATGAATAAGTAAATGACTGAAGAAAATCTGAACGACGAGTAGAAGATTACCGTACTTCATATGAAACACCCATTCCGTTACATCCACGATAACATTGATCGGGTAAAACACAGCTTTTATCAACATTGCAGGTAGAAGCGTCAAAAGTAGCCTTGAAATATTATTATATACATTACATAGGAAGGGTCACCAAAATAATATGCTTATTTTAGAAAGTACAATTTTTAATTGAAAGAATCAGAATCTTAT